AGTTGATTTGAGTGATATTTCCCATGAAGACTTAGCAATGTCAGTTCTCAAGTATATTTTTATTAGCCTGTTTGATTTTATTTTTTGACAGAAATCAGTACTTTTTTTCAATAGCAGATGCCTTTCATCTGTATATTTCACTTCATTTAGGTATTCTTTAAATAAATTTTCAATTAAAACAGTTATTTTTTTTCTTTTTTACAACTCAGATTTTATTTTAAGCAAAATCTGATTAAATTCTCACTTTCCGATTTGATCACTTGAAATATCACAAGATCTTCCAAAGCAAATCATCCAAATTGTGTTGCTGCAAGTGCTTCATTTTTTTTTTTTTTGCTGTATATAAGGACAGAATTTTAATGAGGATATTCAGTTTTTACTGCTTTAAGTTTACAGTATACTTAAAAAACAAAATTACCTAAAGCCTTTGGTCCTTTTGTTTGCGTATAATGTAAGTGATGTGTGAATGCACTGGTTGCCCTAACACTAAACACGTGATTAGAGTAAAAGCAAATGTATTTACAATGGCATATATGGAGCCACTTACAGCTACCCTTACGCCCCTGGACCATGCGCGTGTGTTGCTGAAGGTGGTTGTCATTTCTCGTTTTCTAAGCAGGGTCGCTGTCGGGGGCAGCAGCCTAGGCCAGTCAGTGGGCCTGCTAGGAAAGGGTTGTAAAGGGATTTTATGGTACTGAGTCTTCTGGGCAATAAGCTGGCAGGTGAAATTAGGTGGTGTTCACATGAAGCGCAGAGGGTTGCATAAAAGTGGTCTTTTAAGACAGCATCGTTCCTGATTGCTGCTAGCTGTTACAGGTAGATGGTGCGTGAGCCTTTGCTCAGCATTTGGCATTAGTTCGTGCCAGAGATGAGCTCTTTGGTGTGAGCCCGTGTGGGTACCTGCTCTCTTACCTTGAAACAAGAGCAGAAACGGTGCCTTGGGGCAATAGAGAGCTGATTCGGTGAGAGTCCACGAAGTGGACGTGGCTTGCCTTGTTCTGCCTATGTAGTTTTGTTGAAATAAATGAGAAACTTTATGCCAGTAGTATTGTTTTCTTTGTCACACAGTATGTGCTGGCACATGGAACAAGGTTTAGTTTGTTCGTTGACTTCCATAGAAAGCCATAGTTTCCGCAACCAATGTAATCTGTTTTGAAACAGCTTCATTGCCTGGTATCAGGCAGAATTTCTTCATAGGCAGATTAGATCACAGATGGCAAGGACAGAGGGGAGAGATTTTTCTTTTGGGAAAAGAACCTGTGCCTACATTTTTTTTTAAAATCCAATTAATGATTTATGCGTAATTAGATGGTTTTATTCCACAAAGCAAAAGCTACTGCTAGTACGCAAAAGCTTCAGATGTCTCTGACCTCTTTTGAACTTGCTAATTATGAAACTTTCTGTTCTGCATTTCACTTGTGTTTTAATTCTGTCAACTCTGAAAGACCTGTACTTTGTTTTGGTGGGATTTTTGTATAGGGCGTCTCTCTTGAAACAAGTTAAAACCTGTGATTTAAAGCATGGTATTTGCATCTTAATAAATACTGAGGCACAGTGAGTTAATCTACATGCAGCCCTGGGGAGCTGCTCCTGGAATTCATCTCTATGCCTGAAAGAGCTTACACTAGCAAGGAAAGGAAGCAAAACAGAGGTGTGCGGCTTGCGGGTGTGCATGGGAGCTCAAGTTTGTGCTATCCACGTGTATTTCTGTTAAGGCAGGGAAATTTCCGGTCATTTCTGGAAGTTAATCATCTGGGCTACTGAACTGCACACTGGAAAAACTGTTAAGCTGGCCTGCGTGAATGAGCTGAATTTGGATTTAGGGATATGCCAGGTTTCTCGAGATACCCTCTACGTCTCGCTTCAGCACACCTCTTGCTGAACACAAGGTTGTGTTGGGTTGTTGTGCTTTAACTTGCTTCCCCCTGCATTGTGAAGACACTCTGGGCTACCGACTGAGTCAAGCAGGAGGTTGAAAAGTGGTGTGGTTAGTGAGAACGGTTTTTGAGGAAAAAGGAGAGCCAATACTATCTTTTCAGTTACTATACGTTTTGAAAACTGCTTAGTATGAGCAGATGCCATTAGATTTTCTGCATTTAAAGATGTTCTCTGATACAGTTGCATTTCTATAACCAATCCACCTGTAGGAGGATTCAAGGTGAATCCGTATTTCTGGCTATATATTAATTGATTTGTCTGACTTCCTCCACTACTTGTTCTGCTATGATTTCTCTAACCAAATATATCTATAAATATCTGTATCTATAGATGGTTATATATGTTTTTAAGTCTTAAAGATCACTTGCAACAAAAAAACTTGAGTGTGCAGACAGCTATTAGACGTATTTAAAAATCCCACTGAAGCCAATGACATATAAGGATGAGCTTTGCAGAACGGGGACATAATGTTCAATTGGTAAAGAATGAAATAAAACTTGGCCTTCCATTTTTTTTACTACCATCATAAAATGATTAAAAGCATTTTCACACAAAGACAGTGTAGAGCACTCTAATGTGAAAATTATGACCATTTCTGATGCTTTTTCTACCTCCTGATATATGTCTTCCAGGCTTCTGACGTCTTAACGTGACCTATCCCTGCCTTACTGCAAAGAGTTTTATGGTCTGCTACATGTAAAGCTACTTTTTTAATTCGTTAATTTGATGTGGCTTCAGGTAGTGCAGAATGTAAAACTCGGAAGCAAAAAGTCAGAGGAACTAAATGGCAATGTTTTAACTTACTGATGAAACCACTTGTCATCCACTTGTTTTTTTCGCGTGCCTAGGCTGATCAGCTGTTTGATTGTGGAAGGAGTTCCCAGCCACGCTCCTCTGCATTGAAGACCTGATAGAAAGCATGCGGCCTCTTCTTTCTTCCCAGTAGAGGAGCCCAAGAAGAGCCAGTGCTGATCTCTGCAGACCAGAGAAGATGAACATTTAGGCTCGTTTGACTTGCTCTGTTTCTCTGTGTCTAACACACAGAGTTTCATTAGCAACAGATTTTTTTTTCATACAGTTTTTCTTTTGGTTATTCTATGAAATGTGTCGTATTACTGAAACTGGAATTTGGCTTTAGCATTGCATTTTTAGGGTTGCTTTTTCTTTCCACCATTTCCCAGCATTGTATCAAAGATTGGAAATGCACTGATCTTTTCTGAAAGATATATTTAAGTAAATTGGTGCTGTATTTAAGGCTTCAAACTTCAGTAGAGCGTAAAGCTGCAACTAGCACGTTGATCTTGGCTGCTGATTTTTACAACTGTAATATTGTAATTTTAGATAATCCTTGTAATCCCTGAGCAAAAGAGCATGAGAAAGAAAAAAGGCTAAAGAAACTCAGTAGTGTAAAGTGACAAAATATTATTGCCTAAGACATTGGAATTTTTATTAATGTGTTCTGCAGGAATGTAAGTACAGTAGATATTAAACTTTTCAGTCTGTCTAGTGCTAAACTAACGAGGAGAACACTGCTGCTCAGAATAAACCCGTATTGCCATCTGGGAGCCTGCAGCGTTTTATACTTCGGTGCCAGGACTTGTAGTACCTCAGGGCAGTAAACCTGCAAGAAGTTGTGTTTGGTTTCATGAGCTACACAGTTGTTGTTTGCAGTTTATTTTCAGTTGATCCAGCACAAAAATAGTGTTTTAAGAACTTACTATTTCAGTCTTGGGAAAAACAACTTTGCATAGATTGCTCTGCCTCTTATAGCCCATGTTCCTGCTTTTTCTCAGTTAGAAAGGATTTATAACATAGTAGCACTCTGAATGCTGTTTACATACTGGTCTGCCTGTGCAGTGTCCGTCTTGTTACTATGTTCTTGTGCCCTGATTTGCCAGCAGATCCACACCAGTGAATCTTTGCAGTGTGGAGATCAGTCCTGTGGCTATCACCCTTAATTTGCCCATGTGGAATCATTTGCATAAATTTTGAACTTTGCCTTGCTGCTTATCAGAATTGAATGATCCAGTGAGAAAATGCTTAGACACAGAAAGTTTTCAGGTTGGAGGAAGTGCAGTGTTTCTTGTTTGTTGTAGGCTCAAGATAGCTAAGAAATTATTGTAGCTCCTCCAGTTCTGGAGAGCTTTGAGGTGCTAACAAGCGTGGTGGGGCATAGGGTCTTGAACAGTAGCTCTCTGTCTGCTTAAGGCCCTGGGGTAAACAAAGGAGTAATATATTTGAGAAAATCGGTCTTTGAGCGAAACTGAGTGACAGCAGAAGTTCTCTCAGAACTTCCTCTGCAATCTTGTAGCATTTGTCTTCCTTCTCTGGCTAAACAAACACTGGCAAATTTGATTGTCAGTCTTGGGTAGCAATGATGTGCAGTACTCTCATCTCAAAGGTTCTGCAGCCTTCAGTTAACAGCTGAAGGGGAGGATGGTCACATCTTAGAAATATAGGAAGTATCTTGTTCCATGCCTGTTTGGATGTGTGTATCCAATTTATTCATCTTGTATTGTTTGCACATGTGACTCTATCAGTATTATATGCTAATTCATCAATACAACTAGCGTTCCCTCTTTCCCATTTTCAGTGTACTAAAGACTCCAGGCCAGGAGAGCAAATGCCGGGCTGTAAGTGTGGAAATAGAGCCATCTGAAGAAAGTGAGAATAGCTCCATTTCCTAGGTGCAGATTTTGGTACTAAAGTAGCAGAGTACTTCATCAGATGCTTAACTTTAAACATAAACATCTGTAAATACTTTCGAGTGGATTTAGGGTCAAACAAGTAGCCTCCTTGAAACTAGTGAGACTACTTAAAAATTGAGGAAGTGCTAAAATGTCTTGTTGAACATGTGTCTCATGAGCTTGCGAGTTTGAACGTCAAATGCAAATGTTTTGAGAAATGCTCACATTTCTCTTAATAATGAATTATGTTTGTAAGAGGATTTTTACTTCATCAGAATGCCGACCTAGCTCACTGTTGCAGCTCCTCTAGGCCTGTTTTGCAGTCACTTCTGTGGATTTCTTTATTTGGTGCAGGAGACTGAGTGGTTGGTGACAGACAGTACTGAACATTTTCTCCTAGGCTGCTTGGAGTTTCATTAAAACTGTATACCTTAATAAAATACTGGAAAGGAGAAAGCTCTCCTATGCAATCCCCAGCTATAAAATGTAGCGATTGTTTAGTGAATGAAGAAGTCACTTTTTGCTAACGCAAACATGACCACCAGATTCCAGAGGCCAAGCTCATAATAGATTCAAGTTGAAAATTAAAGCATCGTTTTTGTGGGTTTTGCCTGTACACCACCAGAACAAAATCTGCAGCCAGTTTTTGTAGGCTTCTGCTGCAATATAAACCATGATGTGGAGTGTCTATAAAGCAGCATGTTGTTCCTGTCTTTCTTCCTGAAATATCCAGATTTTTTACTATGGTAGTTTTAGCACTTCAAACACAGAACAATACTTAATCCTTACCTGGCTTAGTAATTAATAATCTGTGTGAAGCAAAGAAACTTTTTGTTTTATGGGTAAGAAAATTAAGATGAAATAGTGATCTGTTGGGCATCGCTCACAGAGCGGCACCAATGGGGAATTACGTTCCAGGCTGCCCAGACAGGAGCCAGCTGCTGACCCAGGCCAGCTTTGCTGGCATCCTGCTGCCTAACGCGGATGTACGCACCTGGCTTGCAGGGATATGCCTGTCTGAGCAACGTGGGTGTGTGGACAGAGTTAAAAATAAATATGGAGAGAGAGATATGAGGGTACCAGGTCCAGCCGTGTGTGACGCTGGGCACGCGCAGATCAGGGAAAAATCCAGTGCTTGTGTGTATTATGTTCCTGTAAATGCCTTGGGATAGCGGTGCAGATGTCTCCCTTGCATCTATTTTTTTTTTTTTTTTAACCACAACATACAACATCCAAATCTTGGGTGAATAGAGCCTCATTTCAGGGCAAAAGCAATGAATAACTCTTAAAGCTAATTTTCATGAGAAGACTTTAAAAGCATTTAATCATTTCTCCTCTAAAGAGAAGTAAATTTGCAAGAGCTCATCTAGCTCTAACTTTTAGTGCTATTTAAGTGCTGAAGCCACTCTGCAATGGAAAATTTGGACGATTCAAAATGAATGCATTAAGATAACATTTTTGGAACCTCAGACTGAGTAATTAGCTAAGAGTATCCCAATTCTGACAGAATAATTGATGCTCAGAGGGGTGTTTATTTACATATCAAGGTCTTCCTGAAGCCCTCAGGGAACACAGCTTGCTCTTTGTATGGTATGGTGAGACTTTAAGCGCAACAAAGTCTAATACTTTTATGTTCAAAAGTTTTTCAGATGTCGATGTTTAGACATCAACAATTAAAAAACAACAAAAACAACCCCCCTTCTCCCCGAGAGACAGGTCCTAAGCGATAGGAAGTCTGTGCTATATAAAACCTTGGACAGTAAGGGAAAAAACGGATTGGAAGTTATCTTCATAAGGTCTGAGCTCAAAGGCTTTGGAGACGGTAGGAGGATTCCCGGTGATAGCAATAAGCTTTGAATCAGGTTCAAAATGACTTGAACTATATTTTTGGCTACTTTTATTGCAGACCATCTTAATTTTCACATTCAGGAGCCTAAATGGTTCACACAGCTGTAATATAGGTGCAAGATTTTGGTCCGTGATGGAGTGCACCCCTCCCTCTTCCCTGCAGCTCGAGGAAGGCGCTGCTGAGTGCTGCGGCCCGGTTGCGAGTTGTTGACGCAGGTGCCCGAGGGGTCGCGGGAGCTGAGCCCTTGCAAGCGGAGCTGCGCTCGGTGCTGTGTGGGGTGCTGCCCCTTTGCAGAAACACCTTGTGTCGCTCCTGCGAGGCACCTGTGGATCCAGACCCGCGGGCTGGATTTCTGTATGAGTTTTTCTGAAAACAGTAAGGAAGTAGATCAGGGAAATTAGGTTTGCTATGGATTTTAAGCTCGTTGACTTTGTCTTCTGATTGCTTTGTGCTATTGTACTGGGAGGTGAAGGATTGCCTGGCTGGCAGGCAGAGGAGAACGCGTATGCTTCCTTCTAGCTGATGACCTAGACTGGGAACTTGGCGATCGTGGTATAAATGGAAACAAATATGGAGAGATGAACTCTAGTCAAAAAAGATTGGGATACAGAATTGATGTGTTGCTCATACAAAACTTCCTGAACTAACAAAGTGACTTTTTCCAGAGGCTGGTAAGGTAAGAAGTAAACTGGTTACACTGGTTTCTGGGTAGTTTGTTTTGGTTTTTTTTTTTTAATAATAAATGGAATATGTTGACAAATGCTGACACTAATTGGGTTGAGACAAATGGATCGTTTCAGTAACTCTTTTATCCTTGTGCTAAATCATCCAAGTTGTTAATGGTTGTTGGCTTTGATTTCAGCAGAAAATCCAGTACTTTGCACATGAAATCAGTTTTCTGAGGTGCCTAAGTTATTGTATTTAGCCTAACTTCAAGCAATAGCTTTTAAAGACTGTGGCCTTGGACTTCAACAAATGGTGACTAAATATGTCTGTAGCTGTGATTTCAGATACCAAGGGTGAAAAACTTCTGAAGTTTCATGCGAAGCCTCCCTAGTATCTGCCTATTGTGTGCCAAATTTTTAGAAAGATTTCTCAGAGTAGTAATCTGTATGAACCTCTCTTCTTGGAGAAGACTTATCTAGAGTTTAGACTCGATTTTATGCTCTAAAGCTGTTGATTTTAAAGAAACGTCACACAGGATATTTTGAAGGCTTTACTGCTGGCCAGCATATTTAATTAAGGAGTTACTTGAATGATGGTGCTCTAGATGGTTTCTGCCCATGGTAAATGCATAATTTTATAAAGCATTTTCTGCCTCTTTGCCATAAGCTTATAGCTGCTGCACAACTCTCTAAAAGCGCGGGAATATACTGTCTCTTTAGTTTAGATGACCACAGAAGACTTGATGCCAAACAGTGTTTTTTGATTTGAGTGCAACTGATGGTTGCAGGTAATGTATCTCAATGTTTTCTTCTCTGTTTGAAGATCATATATGTCATAAGTGAGGGTTGTTCTTGAGTCATGCACATTTTACTTCAGCTAGTTGGCCTGATGGCTGTTAACAGCCTCTTGCACTATGGAACCTGTTTATAGTGAAATCTTTGATGTACCGCTGCACTTGTACCTCCTCTGCTCAATAGATTAACTTCATCACAGGGAGCCTTCTTTAGCAGAGGAGCTGTGACTTGAAATGTCCAACATGTCATTGCTCAACAACAGCAAGAGGCTTTTACTTCACTTGCTTATCAAGTCATTTCACCCCTTCCACATTCACTATAAACTGGTTCTGCTATAAATCTGAGCTTCAATGAAGCCTGTGCTGATGGCATTGCATAGATTATTGCACCCTAATCTTGCATGTCTTTTTGCAAAGCCCTCCCTTATTCTTAATTTATATTTCCTTTCTTGCTGCAGTATTTTCTTTTTATTTTTTATTGTAGGATCGGGATACTCACCCCTTGAAGATGATGAAGATGTGTATGCACGCAATAGATACAAAGGTGAATGCTTTGCTTATGTACTAATAAGGATCAGCTGAGAGAGCTTACTTTTCTTTTCCTGTTTTATAAAATCTTGGTTATCTACCTCCATGTTTTCTTCATGGCTTTTAGATCAAGATTTTATTTTTACTTTTGTAACAGTGGAAATTAGACCAAGTACTGATTGCCACTGTCCTGTGCACCTGAACAAATTACTTTTGTACTGCCTTTGCTCTTGGAAAACAAGGTTGCTAGTTCATGAAAATCTAGGAATAGCTTCTCTTCTTTCTTCATACATCATAGCTAAACCATCAATGATAAGCTGACCCAAAACCTGGGCCTATTGATGATAATGTATAGAAGTACAAGAGAACTTGATTTTCATGACTTCTTTTTCCATAAAGTGGTTCTCATTTCAGGTTGGCTTGCAACCTGAAATGTTAAGCAAAGTTTAACTAATGACCATGTAAATTCTAAAGCAAATTATGTAGCTGTATTAATGAGGCAGTGGACTTGCATGTTTATAAATCAAATTCAGTTTTTCTTCTGTACTGCAGAATTTTGCTGTTTAGTAAGACTGGGAAGTTTTTGCCAGTACTCGTAAATTTCACATTTACTATGTCCATTTGCTTAAAAAGTCTGCATCTGTCTCACTGCCCCCCCATTCGCTGTCAAAATCCCTCAGAATCCCAAACAGTTAAGAAACATAACTTTTATGTCACTTTATACAGTTACTATCGTTTCTTTTTAGTAAGGTAATCTGTGGACATGCTAGAAAGTAATGCTGCTGTTTTGATAACTTGAAAATATTGGGCACTGTGTGTATGTAGTATGCTATTGATGCTCTAAAATTAAATAGACTTTAAATAAGAGGTAAGTTTTCAAGTAATTCAGACATTTATAAACAGCAGAGAAGAAAGCACAGATACTACAGATTTGTTGCTGTTTTTATAAATGCCTGATGTTCCTTCCGGTAAAATGAATGCTTCAGTATAAAATTTTCCTAAAAAAAAAAAAAAACATGCACAGAAATATTTCTCCAAAGCTTTACTTGGGTAAATGTACTTTTGTTTGCCTTTTAACATGCAATCCTCTGCGGACACTTAGAAAAAGAATTCCCAAGATCCTGAAGAAAAATCAATGCGAATTCATGCCAGGGCAGGCAAGTAGTCAAAATGTAGATTCTGTCTGAATTCCTTTTATACAGTGATCCAAAATGAATTATATTAATGTCAGCAAAAATGTCACCAGGGTAAGTAAGTGAAACACAATGACTCATTCATACCAATATTAAAAACTGCCCCGAGTTTGGAAGCATTACTGCCAAATGTTGTGGAAGATCAGAACAACGCGGATCTAAGAATATACAAGGTGGAGTATAAAAGGCTTACTCTTTATTAGCATACTTGCTTAAGCTGGTAATGGGGCAGAAAGGGAGGAGAGAAAGACACGAGAAAAATGGCCTGTGCTGCTCCTTTCAGAACTTCTCGCCATAAATGCAGTCCAGCATTTTGATTATGACCTACTGCTCGGTTAATAAAACTTCAGAGTAAGAAATAACTAAATGAATTTGCTTAGCTTTTTTAAATGTAACTAAGCAGCGCTGTGTTTTTTGTGTGTGCACTTGCACACTAAGCAGTGAAAGCAAGCACAGAGCTCAGTCCTCTTTGGCACCTGCAAACTAAACACTGCAGGTTGTTCGTGGGGGGCTGACCTCATACCAAACTTTTTGTCTTCATCTGGATATTTTTCAGCTCTCTCGGCTTTCCAGAGAAACATTGCTGAGACTTTCCTCACCCACAGCATTTTTAAAGTGTTGTTCCTGGCCTCCTTCTGCTCAGCTGGCTGCTGCACCAGCGAGCACCAGCACAGCAGGTCACTGTGCCCGCTGCTGGTGGAGGAAACGCTCAGCTAAGAGCGGTGTTCAGAGAGGACTGTGGGGTTGGGGGAGCGATGCTGCGAAGGCTTTCCTACGCCGCCTGGCTTGGCTGCCCCCGATCTGACTTGATGAGGACAGGCTTCCTGAGGACGGCAGTTCCCGTGCGCATCACAAGGCTAATGCTGCTCCCCTGATGATCCTCGCTCCTGATATGTTTTCACAAATACTGCAGTGATCAAACTGTAGCCTCAAATGTCTAGGCGATACTGTGGCTTCAACCAGTCCTGCTTGCTGCATGCTTTCCAGGGGTTTCAGACACAGAATTGAGTCTCTCACTTAGTGCTAAATGATAACTCAAGCTATTTTATTGCTGAAGAATGATGCAAACTGTCTGTCAAACGGAGGGGTGGGGAAAAACCTACTTAGGTACTGATATTTAAACCCAAGTTTCAGTTACCTGAATGGAGCTAATGCAGACAGGGAAGCTGCAGAGCAGATGCCTGGGAAACTTGTATCTTCTCTTATTTCCCAAGCCTTTAGGGGCACAGATGATACTATCTTGAGGCAGTGAGTAGATTATATGACTTCTCAGGGCCCCATCCAGCCTTAATACTCCATAAATACAACAGGTAGCTGCTCAGCCTTTGAGTAACAATATGAGCCTTTACTTAAACAAACTTTGATCTAAAACTTTAGTGTGTCTTTTGATATGCTTTTAGGCACATAAACTTTTCAAGATATCTGGGTTTCAGTGATATCCTTTGGTCCAAGACCAGATGTTTGCCCCCTTATAAACTCAGCCTCACCCATTTTCTTCCAATCGCTTTCAGTTCTAGAGTAAGCATAATAATGCTTTAGATCAAACAGATGTTTCTCTTAAGCTCTTCAAGTTGTCTGTGTTCAAAAGCATGTCTGTTTTTGTTTTTATTTCTAGACATATCATTTAGTCCAGTAAAAGGTCTGTTACCTCTCCCTAGGAGCCTCGCTTTGTTTCTTTCTGTAGACCACCATAACTGCAACAACACTACTACCGTAGGGAAAAAAATTTTTTTTTTACTTTCAATATTCCATTTGTGCATTTAACTGCGTTTGCTAGCCGCTTTCTTTACATGTGCAGCTGTTTACTCCAGGCAAGTAAGTTTGTAAAGCCACAACAATTTGCAGAAAAACTCAGGCAATTTGCAACATCTGACACAGCTGCTTGGGTTTTGAGTTTTTTTTTTTCTCAATTGGCTTTTTGATGATGATGCATAGTGTATTTGTCTTAAAACCCTTTACAGAGGAGATAGTCATACTCATTTGCGTTTTACAGATATGGAAGACCTTGAGGCACAAATAACTTGAACTGATTTTCCCAAAGCTTACTTAACTCTCTGAGGGCAAAAGCCCAGCCTATCTGATTCTTCAACCCTTCGGTTGCACCCCTACAGTCAGTGTGTGTTTTTGTTGTTGTTGCTGGGTTTTTTTTAAACTACAGGTTTAAAACCTTCTGCAGAACAACTGAGCCTTGCTCCTTAATTAGGGCAGTGATAACTAGCTGCAGTGAGTGGGAAAGGCTTTTCTTTTTTTTTTTTTTAACTGGAGTTTAGGGTCTGAGGGCATGAGAAGACAAGCGGGACAGAAAAGTTTTACATTTCGAAAATCAAAGCACTGAAGCGAGGGGGAGAGGGGATCGTGCAAAAGCTGTTGTTACCTCACACGGAGGAGGAGGATTTCTCCAGAAGGTGAACATAACTGAGGCTGCCTCTGCCACCCCAGCTCAGAGAACGGTCTAACAGGATGCTTGGGTTGGGGTTTGAGCTGGTCCCAGTATGCCCTTCCCCAGTGACAGCGGGGTGGGCTGCAGAGGTGGGTGCTGTGAACTTAGTGGTAGCTGAATGACTTTTACTCCTGTTAGCTTGCGCTCCCTGCTCTCACAAGTGTGATTTGGCTCACATCAAGCATTGAAAGCGTGAGCTGCAGTGATGTAGCCCCTACACAAAGTGGTCCAAGTCAGTCAGTGGGTTATTTAATGCCTTTCAGTACTTATGGGGTAGAGATTAGTTTGAAGGAGAGGGAACAGTTCTAAAAAAGACCCACCTCTGCCAAACTAGTTTTTCATAAAGAAAAGGTAAATAGAGGAAGATATATTTGCCTTTCAGTACTTTTGGAAAGCAGGATCGTAGAAGAAGAAAGAAAAAGATTGGAGTGGTTGCCTGACTAAAGCAACAAGCTGAACAAGCTCTGCCCCGACTGCTGTGCGCAGTTAGACTGGGCAGCGGATTTCCCCATCCCTCAGTTACTATGTATTTGGTGACAGTGGGAATAATGTTACTTATGCATCTTTGCAAAGGGCTTTCAGATTTATTGGTTAAAATATGAAAATAAGCCTGTCACAGTATAATAAGGCTGCTTCAGAAGCATGCTAGTCTAAGAGGAACATGCTTTTGGAGTAGTCAGAAGCTTGATAATCAGTCTTTCCATTTTCTTTGGATGCTATTTCTGTTGCTCCAGTAACAGCACTGAAAAATCTAAGTGGAAAATCCAGTTTCCGTTGAGAAAGTGTAAATATGTCCTAGAGGCATTCTACACTGAATGTAAATAAGCCCTGTATGAGAAATATAACATGCTTCATTGATTATATTTATTTGTATGTGGAGCTGATCTCAGTAATGTAGAAAAATGTGCAAAATGATTGCAGGAATTAAGAGCTAGTAATAAACATCTGCTGAACTGTTGCTGTTTTCTAGAAGTCATTTTTATGTCTCTTGTTACTTTGCAAGGACAAAGGCTAAAACGCTTTTTTTAGAGTTTTTAGCATTTTTCTTGCATACCTCCTGCATGTCAGACGTTGTTACATAGGACTTCAGGACTTGCCATCTTTCTCTTTTTGCCTTGCAGTCCCTCCACTCCCCCTAGTTATGTCCTTTTCAAATCTTGATGCTGAGACGGGGCAGGCTTAGTCACTGCTTGTAGAGGAAACTCCTGCTGAAAAGCTACCCATTGCAGAAGAAGCATTGCTTGCTAAGTGCACACACTTGTCAAAGATGAACAAACATTTTGAAACCTTTGCTGTAAAGGGGAGGTCTTTATCTGATGCTGTACCCATTTAAGTAATGCATCAGTGTCCCAGTATGATGTTAAATCCTCACCAGAAGAAGGTTCCTGTATCTGGAATACTTCAGAGCTTGGCCATAACCAATTACTGAAGAGTCAGTTTTATGAACATCTGTTTCCGCCCCCTCCCCCTTCCTTTTCCCACAGATTTGTTAGGAGCACAAGCTATGCTGTCTCAGCCAAATTCTAGCTTTCCTCTGACTTGACAGTTCCATCGATTCTGCTGTTGTGGGTCCAGGAGCATCTAGAAGGTGGTTCTCGTAGTGCAGGCCAGGTTTCCGCGACACTAGGGTAAGGTAGCCCTCCACCCAGCTTTTGAGGTCAGCGTACAACACGCCAAGTCCAGACTTGGAGAACATTTAGAACTGGATTTGAACTTGGCAGCTTGGGTCCTTTGCTGAATACATATTGGGTAGATAGTGTGCTCATAAAGGAACACTGACACTCTTTTGAAGGATTTGACAGCAGGAAGTGCAGGTATATGTGCTGTGAAATACATATGTTGTGCTACAACACACACATTGCACTTAGAAGCTACAACATAGTGCAAAACAGAGATGAATAGGTTAGACCTTTTTCAAGAGCTCTTTGTTTAGTCTTTTGGATTGCACATTTGCCTTCAAATTTAATAACAACAATGATGCTGTACAAATTTACTGGTAGAAAGCTTTCTTGTTGGTAATATAAAGAATATTAGAATGTTTTTAATGTTGTGCCATAGACCTGCTGAGAACATCAAGGGAGCTGCTGTTCTTGCATACTTTACAAGTTCCTGGTCAGCTTTATTCCTGGATGGTAACTTGGGTTTTAATTTTGCAAAACTGGAGCCATACTTAAATCCTGAACAGTTGTTCTGACATATGGAGTATGTATGCATGCAGACTTGTCATTTTGGCAATATGATTTATGTAAGTGACACTCTTCATAGTGTGAGAGAGCTTGAACTATCACAGAGTTCATCCTGGGCAATGTCTTTTACTGAGCTAATTATTCTGGAAGTTTTTTTGGTTTTTCTGTTCCAAGTAGGCAGTAAGACAGCTAAATGTTGCAAAGATGCAATTACAGCTGAACTAAAAGAGTTCCTAATGCAAACTTTTGCTACCGAAATTTATTATTAAAAAAAGAAAAAAAAAAGAAAGAAAAAGTCAGGTTGTCGTCAAACTGTCCACATGGTGGCACGCTTACTCCACTGACAAAAAGTCATAGACTCTCCCACCTAGTGTAATGGATGCTATCTTTAATGCTTATAACAAAAAAGAGCTACTGGTCTTTGATGTCTCTGACGTTCTCATGTATGAGGACTCAGGAGAACCTCGCCACAATGTCCACTTTTGGAGACTGGTAGCTTTTTAAAAAAGATTTTTCCTTTTCTTCTACCGACCTTGCATAAAGAAAATGATTTTAAATTGTGACTAAACCTTTTAGTACCTCATTAAATATTCTGTGTGTTTTTTGTTCTCTGTGCTAGAAACACCATGGTGCTCTCCCATTAAGGTGAAACATGGTTATGCAAACTGCAGGACACCTCAAGGGGAATATTATAAGAATGTGTTGGGTACAAGATGTGACATTCGTTGTCAAAAAGGCTACGAACTGCATGGCCCTCAGCAGCTAATTTGTCAGTCGAGCAAACGCTGGTCTGGGAAAGTGTTGTGCAAACGTAAGTAGCTATTAATTTTGTGCATGTGAATTGTTCTGCAGATTCAACAGATGATAAAGTCTCTTTGTCTTGGTATTTGCTATAGCTGAAACCTGTGAGTGATAAAATGTTGCAATGGTGAAAAGAAACATGCCAATTTTTGGATTGTTGTTTGTATTTTAAATATTGATAATATGCTTGGAGATAGAGATTAGCTTCTTACTGAAGCACTTGTGGTTTAAAGGCATGGTAAGCATAAAGAGGAGTGGTACAAATACCCTGCTGGCAGAGGACAGATCAGGGAACGTTTTATGAGAGTAAGATTTTGGGTCGTAGGAATAGTTTTGTGACAGAGCTAAATACTTCCTTTAAAATGTTGCCCATCTTGGATTTCGAAAGCTGGCAGAGTTTGTTTCAGATGTCTAAATGGGCTCTTGAGCTAAAACGTTTTCTGAGAAGAAAGGAATAGTTAAATCATCTTCTTATATAAATGTTACATTAGGCTAATGTGTCCGTAAAGTTAAATTTGAAATATGACTAACGTTTGTGACAGAGCTAAATACTTCCTTTAAAATGTTGCCCATCTTGGATTTCGAAAGCTGGCAGAGTTTGTTTCAGATGTCTAAATGGGCTCTTGAGCTAAAACGTTTTCTGAGAAGAAAGGAATAGTTAAATCATCTTCTTATATAAATGTTACATTAGGCTAATGTGTCCGTAAAGTTAAATTTGAAATATGACTAACGAGAACCGTGCGAAAAATCTTACGTGGAGCATCACTTGCTCCTGCTGA